AGGTATATTTATTTTTTTCCCATTTCAATCTCTAGTTTTAGTCAGCAGTAGCAGTCTGATTTCTGGGACATCCTGAGGAAGATGAGATGGCAGGCAGATACATACTGCATGCAGCAAACTTCTGCCACCTCAGACACCAAATCCCACAGATTAACAAAAATTATGCAAAGACTCAAGATGAGAATACAAAGGCACCTCACAGGTGCCTTTAACTACAACAACTCATTTGATATCACTTAGTTACAAGATTAACTTGTAGCTTTCCACTTTGTTTTACTCCAGTACCTGAGGGGAGAGGAATCTTCCCAAAGTATTGTTCCAGTATGTAGCTGAACTTAACAATTGATAAACTAATAAATAAAAGATAAAACTAATAAATAAAAGATGTGTATCTTACAAAGCCCACTTCTTTGTTAAATACAATTCTTGTACCAAAATGCAGATAAATAGAATTTTTCAAATGTTCTACAAAGGAAGGATTGAATCATTGCTATTGGTCTACTCTTGGGAAGTGAAACCAAAGCCAACAGATTGCCACAACAACCCACTCTGAGCTAGAATTCCAGTAATGTTATGAATAAAAACCAGGAGGGAAGGGAGAGGTGCCCCAAAATGGTAACAACCATTTTATTAAGTGAGAGGGGTAGGTACAAAAGAGCTATGCACATTTCTCTTCCAAACTGTCATTTAAGTCACAACTCTAAAGTTATAAACCTGAATTTGAAGTAATTCAACACGATATTTGAAAATATTGTCCAGCATCTTCCCTGTAATATGGATCAGACTACCACCCTGCTTCTCCCTTTCCTCCAAAAGGAGAGGCTACATGGGAGACACTCCGGTGCAGGGGCTGTAAATGTGGATTATATTAAAGACTTGGGAATCAGACTTTTCTGGCTTCCCCCACTTATCAGACCTGGTAAAATTAGGCACACTAGTTAACATCTCAGTGCTTCAGTTTCCTCAAACTAAAATGAGAGACACACTACCTACATATCAGGGGTTGTTCAGAAGAATAAAGAGCCCTTGGTGGTTGGCATATAAAGGCTTGCTGAAAGAGACAGACCTACAGTTCATAACTGCTTACTATCGAATTTAGAAGATAGTAAGGGGCTGGGGATTTAGCTCAGTGGCATAAGCGCCTGCCTTGCAAGCAGGCAGTCGTGAGATCGATCCAGGGTACCGATAAAAAGGAAAAAGGCCAAAAAAAAAAAAAAAAAGAAGAAGAAGATAGTTACTAACAAGTGACTAGCTGCCAGCAGTTAAGTATGCAGTAGTCTAAAAAGATTTGATTCAGTATGTGTTTGAGCATTTTGTAAGCATTAAGACTCTGGGTGAACAAAGTAGTCTGAAACTCAAACTTACTAGAATGTGAGGGGGAGGGTTTCCAGGAGAAAAAACAAAGTACTCTTGGCTCATGGAAAACAATAAAGATCAAATAAGGAAGCTAGATTTGTAGTGACCCCAATTAACAGTGTTTTATAATTTTTTCATCCAAATAAGTCAGAAAAGTATAATAAGTAGACACTTCTGGACTGGAAAAAAGTGATACAGACTATAGGAAATCAGCGTGAAGGTGACAGAATTAGGTAAGATTATGGGTTAGCACCCCCCACCACCACCAAAAAAAGACAAACTCAACAAGGATATAAGAACATTTCTTGAGGTTTGTAAAATGCACACATTTGAGACGCAGCAGATCTGAGGTAGGGCACAGGTGACTATGTTTTGCTAATTTCATTGATGATTCTGATGCACACCCCAAATAGTACAAAGCAAGCTCACCAATTTCATAGGAATAGAACATGTGACTAAAATGCTGATTAGAACATTTAAATCATGAATCTGGATCAGGTAAAAGTGAAGACAGGCTCCAGACACATAGAAGTCACTGGAATTTATAGATTAGGAGAAAATTATGGGCCCAGGACAAGGTTAAAGGGGAGATGGATTCATGTGATCTTATTTGATAGGGTTAGAATCTTGGTTCTCAAACTTGGCTAAACATCAGAATTACCTGGAAAGGCTCAAAATCCCAGGTCACACCTCAAGTCAATTAAAACAGATTCTGAATGTGAAAGCCAAACATCAGCACATCAGTTTAAAGCCCCCGCCCCCCAGATAATTCCAAGGACAACCAAGTTTGAGAAACATTCGGTTATAAAATCTGCAGGCAAATTTGTGAGGGAAAAGTTAATGATTCTCAAATGCCAGCATATATGAGAATCATTTGGAAAGTAGGCTGTGGCTCGGTAGAAAAGGAGCTGGTTCTCTAGAGGTTTACAAATACTCCAAGTGATTACAATATGCATAACAATGCTTCAGAACCACTGGAAATAACTCCAAATGAGAAACTGAGGACTCTGAACAGCCTTAGGCATTTCCATTCTTCTTAGCCTGATGGGCATAAGCTCATTCTATGAAGTGTGATAAACTTTACAGAATAAACCCAAAAAATACCCAGCAGTAAAGCTAAAGGCACCACTGACTTCACACATGTAATACGTATGATTCATCTTTAGCTTCAGAAGTCAACTTTCCAAACCACTCATATCTGGCCTCTCGATAGATAGCATAAAGAAAGCATGTATTGCCACCTGCCTTTCAGAATTAAAAACTTAGCTTTTGAGGAATCTATAGAGAAATCAGCCACACACATGCCAATAGGCAACATATACAACAGGAATTCTTGTTACCATTCAGCAAGAGGAAACAGTATTATATTAAAGCTACACTTGGAAGATCTGAAAGAGCCTTTCACAAAGCCAGCAATTACATAGCTAGAAGCTTGCAAATTCAGTAACACATGTAACTTTTATTGAACAATGCTGCCCTTTTTTTCTCCAGATCATAATGACCAAGCCTACACACATGATGTGCAAAAAACTTAGAAAAATCAGGAAATCGCCTAGCTACATAGTAATAGATTACTTATGACCACTTCCATCTTAAGATTTAACTGTTCTATTCAGAAGGTTACACTGTATCCGATAAGATTCAAGAGAATGCATTCCTGTGCATATGACCAACTCATCATTCCATCAGAAATCTCTATAGCAGCACCAGAATTTTCATTTTCAAGATACATGAGCTTTTGTCAAATGGTGACATCTCCTCTGTAATATGAATTTTCAATATGATATAAAAAATGATGGATATATTACACATTTCACAGAGCACAAGAACAGAAACCTGTCAATGAATTTAAAATTTGTGACAACCTATTTGAAATCTTACACTAAAAGATCTGTACACTTCCATAAACCATATAAATGTAAAACAGGTACCAATGTTTTTACTGATAAAACATTTCTAACAAAGTTTGGCTGTTACATTAGTACATTCTTTAATGATTTTAATTAACATTTCAGTTGAAAAATGCAACAGTTCATGAAACTTTCAAAGGGCAACTGATGAAAACTTTAATTCCATGTTAACATATTTCAAAACATCTGGTAGCTGGTAGATTTTCCCCCCCATCACTGGAACTTCACAAATCTTCAAATATAGGAAGCTGTAGGTCTTACTGCAAGTTTACAATTAAGCCACTCTTTTTAAAGGGAAAAAAAAAAAGAAACTTAATAAACACTACTTTCAATCTACACGGAATCCTGTTTAGATTTCTTCACTTGAACCTGGTTTCTCTGACAATCTATAGATTCCATTCTACAAAATGACTTAATAAATGCTTGTCTCCCAGACCAAGTCATTAAGCAAAATAAACCCAAATAAATAAAATGGGAATTTTACAATAGAGGAGTTAAATTAACCAGAAATATAGTGATTTGTTTTCATGTAATAAAACATGAAAAGCGAAATTTATTAAACCCTGACGGGAGGGTAACAATTCAAATAACAGATAAGCATTAATTTAAAAGTATATTAGTTAAGCTATCTGATATTTCTGAATTCAGATCTTTACAAATGTTATCACACAAGTCATTGTATGTTGCCACACACAAATTATCTTTACATAACAGAACATTTGCTAATTTTTAAATTTAATGCTCCCACCTTCCTTAAAATCAGAATACTGAGTCCCTTACTGGGGTAGTAATAGTCCAGGACAGGGACTATTTCTAAAGCTGCCAACAGCAAACAAGATTCATTAATCTATTTTAAAGACTCCACCAAAAGCGTATATTATATGTCGTCGTCCTCACCCCCACCCCGCACAAGCATTCGCTGAAAACAGGACACTGACAGGGGCATAATACTGATTGGGGAGTCCAGATTTACAGAGAGGGTGAGGGTCCTTTCAAAAGAGATTCCACCTCCGTTTTCAAAAGGTCATTTGCAATCAGCAGATCTTCGTTCCCTATTTTAGAGATCAGTACGGTGTTCTAAACAGAGGGAGGAAAACAAAGCGGAGCGACAAAGCTGTGGGCTCTGAAAGTTTTCGCTCCACCGACTATTCCGCACCCACTTGGGGTCGGGGCCCCAGGACTTGGGGTCGGGGGTGGCCGGGACCCTAGGGAGAGGCTGGAAAAGGCGACTGGTGGTGACTGACACTTGATATTTCGAAGTCCACCGCCTATGTCACTCATCAGTAACAAGACTCTGCGGTGCAAACACAGACAGAAATCAACCCAGGTCCAATCAGTGCAACGGGACGGAGCTCGCGCGTTCCCGTAAGGCGGGCACGGATGGATGGGTCCCAACTTTGGAGATGGCGGGGCTGGAGGTCCCTTAAAATAAAAGCTAGCAAAGACGGTGCATCTACCAACTAGCTCAGTTTCCCTCTCCTCGGATTCCTGCACGAATTAAAAGGCACACCGCATTAACCCTTCGGCTGCCTCCAGGGCCAGCGATCCGCAGTCGTGACCAGGTCACTCCGCGGGAGAGTGGGGTGGCGGTTCTCGAAAGCTCGTGCGGGTAAAGTTCAAGACGCTGCACCCTCGGGGCTGCGTCCTCAGCGCCTACCCTACTCCACCCCCGGGCTGCACCCCCGGCCCGGATCCCAGCCCAGCGGCGCCCCCAGCCCGGACCCCCGAGCCTACCTTGCGCCAGCGCCCGCACCAAGTGCATCTGAAGCGTGAGCAGAGCCCACCACCCGCGGCGGCCCGGGCAGAACTTTGCCGCCCGGCGCCCCGCGTCCCGGCCGGGGGTCTCGGGGTCGCTGGCGGGCGGAGCCCCCCGCGGTCGCCCCGGGCCAACGCGCTCAGGAGCCGCCGCGCCGCCGCCCCGGACCATGCCGAGCAGCCGCCGCCACCCGGCGCCGCGGGACGGGCAGGGGACGCGGGGCGGCCGCTCGACGCGGGAGCGCGCTCTGGGCTGAGGGGCGGCGTCCGGGCCCCGCGTGAGGGGGCGCGAAGTTGTCAGCGGGGAAACGCCCGCCGCCGCTCCCGTCCCCGCCGCCGAGAGCCGGTCCCGCAACGCTCTGTGAGGGGTCGCAGACGCTGAGGAGCCCCTGTCACCACCGCCCGCGCCCGACGCTGAGGAGAAAGTGCGCCCGCCCGCGCGACGGCTCTCGCCGCGGCCGCCGCGCCCCATTCACAGACCGGCCGCACGCGCCGCCTGCGCCCGCCGCCCGCCGCTGATTGGCCGAGGGAGGCGGCTCCGCGCCCGGGACCCGCCCCCTCGGCGCTCGCTTGTTTTCAAACTCGCGGCGCCCGCCCGCCTGTAATTTCGCGCCGACCCCGGCGCTAGGCTCCAGCGGCTTCCCGCGCCAGCTGCGCCCTCTAGGGACCCTCGGCGGGGACTGCAGGCGGCGCCGTCTTTGCACTCGCTGCGCGGGCCGGCTCACCGGCAAGAAGGCGCTGCTTCGCGGAGCCCCGCTGCTGGGTGGCGCCCAGGTGGGGCAGGCCCAGGTGCGGTGGGACAGGTGGGGGCGGGCCCAGATGCAGCAGGACTCTTGCGAGCACCGTGGAGACCTCGCTCCGGGGCAAGTGGGCACGCGCCCCGGGAGCCGCCCTGTGCCCACTCATGGGCTCCGGGCTAGGGTGGCTACGAGCCAAGTCGCTCTAATTACAAACAGGCGCGATCAGGTTTTTAATTCGCAGCAACAAGAAGCTCTCTGTGTGCAAACCCGCCGCCTGCTCGAACGAATGGACAAGGGTTGGGGAGACGTCCAAGGTCACGTTTGGCCGGAGGACCCCAGCGAGCCCCAGGATGGGCGGATCTGGGGAAAGCGCCAGCAGGGAACGTACTCCCGCCGTGGAGTACGCTGGCGTGGGGGGTGGGAGCTGGCTTGGCAGCATGTGGTAAGCATTAGTCGAGTTTATGGGGTGAACTCAGCGCTCTACAGCTCAGAGGCCAGCATTTTCGTGGGAGGAGGGCTGGAAGGTGACAGAGTCTGACACTGCTGGGAGTTGGCTGGGAGGAGTCTGGGGGCGTTGATGGTGACTGAGTGAGGTCACCCATGTCAGGAAGGCCAGAGGTTGCTGAGTGCGCCCCGCAGGGTCCTGGCTCTGAGCAAGTACTTGACGCTAACTTGCTGGTATGGTCGGGTTCATAGTCCCAGGAGGGAGGGTGGGGAGCATGTCTCTGAGGCCAGGAGGTCTGTGAGTGGGAGCTAGCTCCTGTTTGCAGAGAACTCGTGGTGTGAGCTAGCTGTTTTAGGCTCTCCACATCTGTTGTGGTAACCCTGAAGGAGATGTGAGGAAACTGAGGCTTGGACAGCAGCCAAATGGAGGAGGTGGGTTAGGAGATACATCTGACCAACCCCACCCCAACCCTTCCAGCTCTATGCTGGGAAGAGTAAAAGAGACACACCCCAAAGATGCCCTGTTCTGAGAATGTAGTGAAGGCTCCTAAGGGCACCGTGTCCAGGGCCCGGTGGCTTCTGAACATATGGCTGAAACTTAAGGGTGGGGAGGGACTTTTATTTTCCTGTTGCCAGCTACATGTGTTTCTTCAAACTTGTAAGATTACAGAAAGTCTAAGTGGGGGGGGGGTAGCAATACCTGTTGTGCACTGGGCACTTACTGTGGGCAGCCCTGTACAGTACACCATGTCACTGCTGGTGTGTGAGAGGTGCTGTCACAAACACCAGTAAGGAAACAGGGTTGCAGAGGTGTAGTGATTTGCCCAAAGTCAGGAGCTGAATTCCTGCCCTCTCCATTCTGAGGACCAAGCTCAGAAATGGGAGTGGGAGTTGGGAGGATTACAGTAAAGTTTGCAAACTGGGGCTTAGAGGTCTTAACTCTTTCAAGTTATAACATTTTGGTAAATTACTGGCTCTAATTTGCTGGGGAAAGTTAGTAATATTTTGCATCTCGCAAGATTGTCTCAAGAAAGTAAGTAAATCCACTAATGCTAACACTAGTGGTAGTCTTTTCCCCCACTGCTTGTAGCAAGCCACCCTCCCTCCACCCACTAATCATGTTTGGTTCACACTTAACTATCCCTTTCAGATACTAACATATGCCCATGTACTGTCGCAGTACAGGAATGAATGTGACTCAGGCAGCTGCTTGACTTAGAACACTCCCAAAATGTCCAGAACCTCTCTTGCTGTGATTTATTTCGCAGTTAACAGAAAACTTTATGGAAATTTACTTGGAAACTGGAAAGTCAAGTCAATATATGGTAGGTTATAAGAGATTGATGACATCACTGCTACTAGAGAGGGTCTGAAAATGCCTCTGGGAAATTTTTTATTCCAATATCATCCTGGGGAAATAGGCTCTATCACCATCTCCATTCTGCAGTAGAACAAACAAAGCCAGGAAAGTTGAATGTATGCAAAGCAACTGTGCTGAAGCCAGAGTAAGGATCAATCTAGCTGTCCAAAGTCCTGATCTATGACCGCCACCACCCTACCTTGACTGCCTCCACCTGGCTATGCTGCCGCCTTTTACAGAACCTGTTTGAGGAGTGTCTGTAGGCAAAGCTGCTCTTTCTATGAATGAATGAATGAATGAATGAATGAATGAATGAATGAATGAATGAGAAACCCTTTGTAATGCTGGGGAGGCTAGAATATTTCTTCCCAAAACCAAATACTTTTTCACCCCAGTTTTACCCAACTCAACTAGGCCTTAAAAAGTGAACAATTTACACTTATACCATATATCTTTAGCTGTATTTTCTAAAAAACTATGAAGTGGAGAGATGTTACTCTATGAAAACTGACTCATTTTTCTTCTTAGAAATAAGTGATGTTTTCCTAATTTCCAACATAAGGTCTACCCTGTTGAATTAAAGAAAGAGAGGAAAATTTCCAAACAAGTGGAATTAAGATGATAGCTGAGCCCACCGATGTTTTCTTACTAGAATTTAAAGGCTGCATAGGCCAGACATGGCCCACGGTCATCAACCTCACCTGGGAGTTGGTCCAAAATGCACATTTTGAGGTTGGTCCTGAACCCACAGAACCTTTGCATTTAAACAAACCTCTAGTGGTCCCTATGTTACCTTAAAATTTGAGAGTTAATATTAGTTCCTTCGTATCTGTTAGGAATTTAACAACCCCAGGGAGATACTATCTTTTGTGTTCTCATATTGTTCCACTTGGTTCTTTCTTTGTATCATTCAGACTTTTTCTCCCACTTATAGCCCTCCCTTCCTAACAAAACATTAATAGAACAAGTGTATTTAAACTAAAAGCCAAAAAACAGCAGGGCATGATGGTGTACACCTGTAATCGCAGCACTCAGGAAGCTGAGACAAGAGGACTGCACAAGCTTGAGGCCAGTTTGAGTTACACATAAACTCAAGGCCTGCTTGAACTATATGGCCTGTCTCAAAAACAAGTAAACAAAAAATCTTGATGGTACTCTGGGGAAAAAAACTGGAAAAAGAATTAATATCTATATTATAAATTTTTTCATTAAGAAAAATAGATGAATAAATGAGCAAAGAAAATAAACAGGCAGTTCTCAGAGAGATACAAAGAGAAGATAAACGCTTGAGAAACTGATCCAAAGAACGAAAAAGCAACCAAACTTTTTAAAAATAGCAAAGGGCTGGTGGAAATGGGCATTCATATATTCTTAGTAGAAGTATAAACTAAACAGCCTTTTGAGTAGAAAAACATGATGCATAGCTAAACTGTAAATATGAATTACCTTAGCTTCAGTCAATCTACCTCACTAATGTGTGAAGATATACATGTAAGGATTTCTGCTGCAGCACTGCCAATCATAGCAAAGTGTAATGTGATACATCTGCACGATAAACTTCAATGACTGTTGAAAGAAAAGTATAGAGTTAAAAATCTTGTTGCAGAAATGTCTTCCATAAACAGTAAAATGTTTTCTTACATACATGTATATATAGGATGATCCAATTTATGGATTTTTTCTGAAAGATTAATAGGGTTTCCTTCAGGGGACATGGAATTAGATGCTTTTCTGTATTAAATTTTCAAATGTGAATATATATTAATAAAACTAAAGAAGTATGTTTTCAAAAAGTAGATGATGATGAGCCTAATCAGTTATTTCACATCTATAGCTCATTAAGAAATATCCCTCATGGGTTCCCATTGGTTCTTCTGAGAAAAATAATCCCCAATGCTGTTAGAAGGCAAGTTGCAACAGGCACATGTCATAGGGGAAAGCTATGCTCCCCCACATGCAAACCAAGGCCCCAGCCACACCAGGGCTCCCTTGCACCTGCTTCCTGTGGTCTCTCCTGATGAGAACACTCCCCTCAGGATGCCTCAGTGCTTCATTCTTAGATCACTGCCAATTGCTAATCCCAGCCCTAGCCTCACCTTTGTTCTGTTGCCTGGCAACCTATTAATGAGTGGGGAGCAGCTTCAGGTGCTGCCTTTGAGCCCTAATGGGATGTGGGTTTTGGTTACCTTAGAGCCCACAGAGTTTCCAGAAAACATTTTTAGGAGCTTGAGTCTCATGAAATGCTCCTATGAGGGAAGCTATGAAAAAGACAGGTACTAAAAATATACCAAGCCTCCAAAAATGTCTATCAGCTTCCTTACGTTTAAGGCTGCTTCCAGTTGTATGGAGCAGAGTTTTTCAATATGTAGTCTCTAGACAGTCTCATTGGCATCACCCCAAACTACTGAATCAAAAACTCAGGGTGGAGCCAGGAACTGTGATTTAACAAACCCTCCAGGTAATACTGCACACTCAAGTTTGATCACCATGAATGAGAAGCAGTTCCTTCCATTCTCTCCAGCAAGTGTTTTTCAGATATCTGATTTGTGCCAATCCCAGTGCCAGGCAAGAGAGAAACAGTAATTGCATGATAAACAGAAGCACTTAAGGGAACATCTCAAAAGGGATCTATAGCTTTGGGGAATCAGAGAGTTATCCAGGGAAGTAACATCTAATCTGAGATTTTTAGGATAAATGAGAGAAGATCAGCAGCCAGGAAGACAAGGTGCTCCAGATGAAAGAGGGAATGTCAAGGGTGAAGGCCCAGAGTGTAACCTGAAGCATGAAAGTGCTGGAGAACCATGACGGTTTTGAACATGGTGGTTTTATCATCAGAATTTTTTTAGGGTTCTGGGTTGGACTTGGGCAAGATTAGAAGTCAGAAGACCAGCTAGCGATGGGCCATTGATGCAATTTAATTAAGAAT